CCTGCATGGTGGTCGTGCTGGTGGTAAGGTCTTGACTGTAATATCTTGAAATGTCTACATATTTGGAGCTAGTGTCTCAGTCCTATCATCTCGTGTTGCACCAAATTTGGTCTCACTAATGCTTCTCTGCTGACAAGGGCGCTTGTGACCTTGTGCTCCATTGAGGAGAGAAGGACTATGCACTTCCTATTATTAGCGAAGAAATATGTGTTTTTGAATTTGTCATGTTGAGTAATCCAATCAAATTGCCACGGTCTCCCCAAAAAAAGGTGAACCACATCACACCATATCTGATCATGCAGTTGTCTCTTAATCAAAAACTCCACCAAGCACTTCTGGTCAATGTTGATCCTGTTTTTCTTTTTTAGCCATTTTAGAGAATATGGCTAGCAGTGTCTTTGAGTCATGAGGCCCAACTTCTCCACCATTTGTTTTGTTTCCTTCATTGATAATGAGGCTGCGTACCTTTCCGTTAACTGAACAACAACTGTAGAATATTTGTGACGAAGCCACTGTGAATCTCTCGTATCCTTGGTATGTAGGACCCAACGAGCCACGAATGTCTCTCCTTCATTCGGTGGCAGGTGATGCACCTCCCTCTGTTTCTTGGCTTTCTCCTCGTCGCTAATCTCTTCTATGACACTCTCTTAGTAAAGGATGTAACTCGGCTCGTCGGGCAGCTGAAGGCAATGTGTATTGGCATCTGAAGCATTTTCTGATGTGGATTGAAGATGTGTGCTACTCTTCTTAGGTTTCTTCTCATCGAGGGTGGTTCTATCCTTATCCAACCCAGCTTTCTCCACTCCGTAAGGCGTGCCCTGCTAATGTCTTTAATTGTGGGGTGGCTGCGTGGCTGGTCGTGGCGGTGGCCTGCTCTGTTTCTAGGTCATTTCCACTTTCAATGCTAAGGTTTGAATATCTTCAATTGACCAATATAGTTGCAACTGTACCACATTTCTAATAATAGGCTCCAGACCCTCAAGATACCGGGCTATAGTGTGTTCCTCTGGCTTTTTCATCTCGCATTTCATCTGTAAGTGGTCGAACTGAGCTAAAAACTCCTCCATTGAAAGGTCTCGCTGTTGCAAGCGGTGGAGCCTCAAAAACATGTCGTGGTGGTAAGGAGGTGGAAAGTATTTCTTTTGCATTGCTTTCTTCATTTTCTCCCACTTTGTAATTTTATTGATGTCCTGACTTTTCTTCTATCGCTATAAGTTGTCCCACCATAAAAAGACGCTCTTTTTCAACTTGATAGCAACTAATTTTACCCATTAATCCTCTGACACATCTTTATATTTAACAGATTGCAACAAATCGAGAAATTTATTTGGATCTATACCTCCCACAAACTCTGGTAAAGTCACATTGATTCCGTGGTCTCTGTGTCCAACTGATGTCTCCTCTCTAGGCCTCCTTTGATACTGGATTCCAAAACACTGTTGTCTTTCATCTTCATCACTAAAATCTTCTATATGGAATGAGTTTAAATTCTCTTCCTTTTCTCCTCTTCGACTTTCCCTGCCACCATCGAGGGTAAGTGTCTAATGGGTGTCATCCTTAATATACGCTAGCCTCTACTGTAGTCGGCAAATATCTTGATGTATTTTTACCAGATTATGCTCGAGCATGTATCTCCTTGGTGGCATAGATAGGGTTTAGAGTTTGGAGGAAAAAGAGGGTGAAAAAAATTAATTTAGGGTTGCTGATTTTGTAAATCAGTAAGGGGAAATAGGGTCAGGTCAAAGTATAGCTATGGCTTGGAAATAGGAAATAAATTTTTTGGTGGAGGATTAAGGTGGATGCTAGGAAACCATAGTGTATGACTAGAGTTATGCTAGCTCTGATATCAAATGATTCCGAAGTTAACCCGAACCATAGTAGAACAACAAATATTATTACTTGAAGCAAATAAACGGTTACAACAAACCCACTTAAAAGAAGAAATGCAATATCAAGACACAAGCAACACCACTAAAGTATATCACATTGGTGATGGGGGTCGGCTAAGGGGTTCAGAATAACTAGCGAGGGTGGCGGTAGCGATAGGTGTTAGTGGCATTGAGGGGGAGCTGTGAAAATGCAGGGACAACAAGTAGGGTGTTATCCAACGAGGAGTTGAGGTGGATAGCAACAAAATAGCAGGGAGGAGGTGATCACTTGTCCCGGGAGGGGGTGGGGGGGCAGTGGCACGGTGGGTTGGCTGGAATAGCAGTAATGAGGTGTGGCTTGGGCGGCAGCAAAGCTGAAAGGGAGGGGGAAGTTGCTAGTAGGCTAAAGATTGCAGGAAACAGCAATCCGAGTATTGTTGAGGTTGACTGCAGTGAGGTATGGCGGCAAGGAGTGATGTGGGAGGAGGCGGAGGGCAACAAGAGGAAGTAATCACCACCTCTGGAGAGAGATACAACCGGAGCACTTCTTAGTCCCTCGTGTATTGCCTTCTAAGGGGAAAATTTAAGTCGGTCGCTATCTTGACAGAAACCTGAAATATGTAATTAATTAAAAGCTAACCCTAAACAAGCAAAGCAACAAATATATACTAGCTAGGAGATATATTGGAAAGGGTTTGGGCGGAAACCAGAAAAGGAAAGCGAAGGGCAGCAAACAAACGCACAGAGGTGGATATCTTGTCAGCTGGTTCAGTCAGTCTCTAAACCCCACTTCCTGCCTCCAAAGCTCGTGTCATAGGATTAGGTTAGCTATGATATCAAATGCTACCCAAGCTAACCCAAAACACAAGAAGAAAAGTAAATATTATTACTGAAAGTAAATAGGAGTTTAAACCAGAACATTTAAAAGAGAAAATACAACAATGTGATTCCTGGCAATTTTAAATAGCAATAAACACATCACAATTAACTAGGGTGGATCTAGGGTGGCGTCGGTGGCCGAAATGTGCTTGGAAAAGCGGTTGAAAGGGGGTGGGTGGATTGGGTAGTGAAGAAACAAAAGCTTGGAACGATTCTGAGCCGGTGGGAACAGCAGCTTGGCTTCGGGGAGGTGGTTCCAGCGGTTGGAACAACAACTGGGCGACATGAGGAATATGATCTTGGGTGGCTAGAACGATGATGGCAGTGTCGGGGAAGTGTTGGAACAGCAGCGAGGCCGTAGGGATGTGAGTCTATTCGCTGGAACAACAGTGAACAGTAAGGCGAGGGGCTTACGGGCTGCAATAGCAAGACAGAAGCTTGGGAGAAGGTGGAGGTAATGTTTCGAGCGGTGGGGACATCAGTGGACAGTAAGGCAAGAGACTTACAAGTTTGTGTCAACGAGGGAGAAGGCTGGGAGAAGGTGGAGGGAAGGTTGCGGTGGGCAGGGACGATAGCAGGGGTGCGATAGGAATGATTCTAGATGACTGATATTGAGCAATCGGTAGTTGGGAGAGTAGGACTTGCAGGAAGACAGTCGGGAGGTGGTTGTAACGAGGAGTGCGGTAGCGAATTGAGAGGGATGTGGAGGAGTTGAAGAAGGATAACCCCGCATCGGGAGTGAGATACAGCCGAAGCACCACTTGACCCTTGCAGAAGAGTCACCACCTCAGAACGAGATACAGTCGGAGCATCAATCACCCTCAAATATAGCCCTAGAAGAGAAAACCTAGATGATTATGGCTGCCCTAAAAAGAAAAAAAACACCAAGAATACTGAAAACCTAAACATTGGAATCAAATATATATGCCCTAGATAATTAGGTGCTAAATCCGCGTAAGGAATATCAGCTGGTCTAAATTTGTTTTTTTATCGTTCCCAAGTTGCTATGAGCTTTTCCGCATCTAGTCCAATTTCCGGTGTTGTAGCAGTACTATAGCAGGAGTTGCAAAAATGCCCCTGCGGGAGGCTCCCACATCACAGCTTGAGTGAGTCTGTGATTTATCATGTAAATGATAGTAAAGCCTTAATAAAAAAGAAAATAAAATGAATTTAAAAGTCAAAATTAAAAATATTAACAATAATTTTAAGCAATAAAATGGTGAAATAAAGTGTGGTGCACTGCAAAGACAATATACTTGCTAAAAACACACAGTTACTAGCGTATTGAACTCAGCGCCTTAGGACACAACTAATGTGGGCAGTGCATTTCATAATGCCATACGCAAATATCACATGATTAGTATGTGCCAGCATTTCCTCTTGTTTGATGTTTCTAAACTCCCCATTTAATGTGGTGGGAATACTCTTAAAAAGTGCATCTAAACTCCACCCAAGTAATATTTGCAGATGCTTATTGCTTATATGCAACCAACTCCACTCTGAAAGTCACAATACTGCTTTTTGATGTATCTTAAGACTCAGAGACATCTCCACACTCCTATTCCATTTCTCAGCCTTTGGATTCTATCTGGCATTGAAAGTTGGTGAGTCTGTTTTCTTCAATTTTTCTAAGGACGAACTGCAGGATCAACCACGCCTAGTTTTCCTGGCTGTTTTCCTATTGTTGTTTTAGGCACTGGTCGAACTTTAAAAACTCAGAATATCTGATGAAAGTAAAAGCTCTTTGGGGCATTTGCATACATACCACTAAATTCTTATGTACTTACATATTTAGCAAACTTTATTTTTTACATCCATACCACCCAAATATTTCATATCACATCAAAAGTACCATCATTTTGACTTCTAAATACTGGATTGCTCATTTTCTTGTATAGGTAAAGGGTATCTATGTAAAAATTAATGTTTAGGTGCTAGATATGTAAATGCATAGGAATTTTGTATATGAATCTTCCAAGCTCTTTTAACTTACGGTTTCTCTATTGACGTTAAAACACTAAGTTTATATGATGTAAAAGATTCATCGATTTTATTAAATTTGGAGAGTAACTTAAACTAATTTGTCCTGGGAGAGTCGTAATAACCTGTTTGGCCTTTGCTTTTGTTTTCTAATATGATGAAGGAGATTAATGGTACTTGGATTAATTCTTCTGACTATATTGCCTGACACCTTGTTTATCATTTGAGAAAATTACAACTGTAAGCTGTAAATAATTGCTTTACTTTTTACAGGTTGATACAACTGTTACTGAAAGAGAGCGTCTTCTGCTTGCTAAAATTTCTGAGCTCCAAACCAGGCAAGTCAACAATATTTTTGTCAAGTCAACAATATTTTTGTTTACTCGACATGAAGATATGTTTGCCAAGATATGAGAGCGGTAAAGAACATATAGATATTTTTCTCAAGTCTTTTTATTCCCACATGGGACCAATTGTTGTGTACTCGACTTGAAGATATGTCTTACCAAGATAATTACAATAGACAACCTACAACTGTCAAAGACCTTTTTGAGACTCCATAAAATTTTAAAACCAGCACTAATTGTGAAAACAAGCGAGCTTTTAGGAATCTCTTCAACAATATCTCCGAGTTATGTGTTAAATTCTTTTGGAAAACTAGATAATTTATTTGATCTAATGCACGTATGTCTTTCTCTAAATGTTTTTGTATATTTAGTTAAGATTAATTTTTTTAATTAGTTATTTTCTTGCACGATGGATGTTGTTCATAAGTTTTATTCTATTTAGATTATCTCTCGCCTGTGGTACAACATTTAAAATTTTCATCACATGCTCCAGTGATAGACAAAATTAGAAAGAGTCGTCTTAGATGGTCACATTAAACGTCAACCATCTGATGATCCAATTAGGAGAGTAGATGTTTTAGATTCGACTTATGTTAAGAAAGGTAGAGGTAAACTTAGGAAGACTTGGGCTTATCTTATAAAAAATGATCTTAATTTATTAGAACTAAATGAAAATATGACACTAAATAGGACGCAATAGAGAAAAAGGATTCATGTCTGTTGATGTTGTATTCTTTCAAGAGATTTTCATATGCAAAATTAACTTAGAAACCAACTAAAAACATAACACCATAAGGCATTACGATGAGAACATGGAGGCATTCGGCAAACTTACAAATGTATAAATAAAAAAAAGGAAATTATTAAAGGCTTTCAGACATTTTAATGTAAATGTTTTATTCCTTAAAAAACAAAAAAAGGTTAAAATGACTAACTAATATGTACAAGCAAAATTGAGGTTTGATAAGTGCAATCAACTTTCTATGATTACAAGAATTTCATTCATCATCCTAAATGTTAAGTAGTCATCAAGATACTACTTACCTCAAATTGTTGGGATAAGGCTAATTATGATGATGTTGATGAGTCATCACAGTGGTACTTCAATCTAAGTACTTGATAAAAAATATGAAATATCTACTTGAATTTGTTGTATAATAATTTGCTTAGCTGTTAAAACATGATTTGAAAACATAGAGAAATCTCAATTTTGGCATTGTGTAATTTAGGAAGGATGACTTGGCAACTAAGTTTGGAATTGTGTAATTTAAGAAGATAATTAATTGGCAAGTAAGTTTGGAACTGTGAAATATGTAACTGAATTTTTGTTATTTTTGTTATTATTATTATTATTATTACTACTATTATCATAATTGTTTTAAAAACCGGGAGTAGATATGCCAGTTCGATTGATTTAATTGTTAAATGGTCATCTAGCCAGTACAATTGAGATCCAAAATCACTTTTGCATAGTATTGGCCAAAATGGTCTAAAATTGGTGTTGAACTTGTGAACTAGGCTTATTTTTTAGGAATCATCCGTTTTTAATATTAATTAATTTTGGAATTTTTTATTTTGATATAATCACTATAATAAAATATCTAAATTTAAAGTTGAGAAAATAATTAAAATATTATATCCTAAAATTTTGAAATTAAATTATATTCAAAATATTCAAGAGTAAAGTGTTGTAAATTAGGATTATGCATATTAGGTGTAAATATCTTTTTTTCATCTTTATTATATCATTTAATCATAGTGAAATTGTTTTAATATTTATTATGTCATTCCGTTCAACCTTCGCTTCCACTCAGATTGAATTGTTGAATGCCTCTCTATTTTTTTAGTTCAATGCCTAGTTCGGTTTTCATAACCTTGACTACTACTATTCTAATATTATTACTACTTTTAAATCTTCTATTAGTACTGTTATTCAATAATGTTTTTTGAAAGTACATCGAAGTATCAAACTAAGATCAACGAAGTCAAAAGCTCACTAAATAAATCCTTGGCTTTTTTTCTTTTATTTTTAATCATCAGACATAACAGTTTTGGTTATGAATCTGCTTTGATTGGAGGAAAAATTACTGTATCTATCTAATTATTCTAAACATTCTTATCATAGAGAGATGGTGTTTATTCATTGAAACTGAATTGCCTATGAAAATTTATATACTGTTTTGATGGTGAAGTTTGGAAGCACTAATGAATTCATGGGAACACTTATGATATAATTTACAAAATGTTTATAAATGAAGTTGGAGTTGTTCTATGACGATTTATACTAAAGTATAGCTAATTCACTAGATAGCTAAAAACAGCAATGCATTAAGAAGAATGATTGTGGGACAACCCCCAAAAGGTTGCGATATGCCTTATGGTAATGATAATTTTTGTTTATAACTTATTTATGTACTCCAAATACCGATAATTTTTTTTTTTCTTGCAGGATGATTAGCCTAACTGATGAGTTGACTGCTATGAGGATGAAGCACGTTCAAGTAAGTTGCTTTAGCATATGTCGGTCTTTACCTTTTGCCTTCTTTGATAGGATAGGTGCCTATTGATTCTAGTTGACCTGTAAACTATACCAGCATTTGTTATGTTTCTCATATGGACTAATACCTATATGCAATCTGTTAGCTTAAATTATCCTATAGTTTGCATTTACTAGTGCTGTTATAACTTTTGTGAGTTGTTCAAATTCCGTATATAATTTATGCTTTACTGGCTTAGTTACTGAACCGTTCGACCTTACATTTTCTCTTTATATTTCTTCAATGGAATTACCCTGCATCTATTTGACTTCAACATATCAACACCTATAAAGTTAAAACTCATGTAGTCCCTTTATTTTACACGCCAAAAGAACAGCTAAACAACTCAAAATGTTTACCTCACATCTATATTCATATTCTAAATCGTCTACACTTTACCCAATATGAGAATATCATATTGATATCAGAAGTGTTTAATAATATTGATAGTAAAACATAATATGGTAATTTTTATTTCTTTGTTTGTTTTTTTAACCTTTTAACCAAGGAATTTGTATCAAATGATTTGGTCATGTTGATAATCTTCTTAGTATAAAGAAATAGATATTCGAACAATGGCAAAAATAGGTTAACTGTGCATTATCTATATATGCGAGTCTATGTAGTTGGATTTTGCTAGCATTCTAAAAAGATGAGCATTCATTGTACTGCACCAAAGAGCAAAGTGTTATGAGGGCGCCTAGTCTAAGGGCAAAATTGTCTTTTATACGTCTAAGGGCAATTTGGTCTTTTATTATTATTATTGTTGGGTATAAATAGGCTTGTTATGTCTAGGCTTAGGGTTATGCATAAGATTGAGTTTTGAGTCTTAGGTTTAGATTTTGAGAGAGATTTTCTACCACTGGAATTGTTGAAATTGAGAGAGATCGCCTAACTTTAGTATTGTAGGTGCTTATCTCTGTTTTCTTGTTGAGTTTTTTGATTTATTGAAGAAATATTGTGTTTCCCTTAATTTTTCTATAAAAATGTGTTGATTTTGATGTCTGATCGTAACAAATTGGTATCATAACATTCGATTTCTAGGAAATCAACTGCTTAGATTGCTACGTAGAGGAGTTTCCTTGCCTTCAGCGCCGAAAATTGCAATTCAATTGCTATAAAAGCTTGCTGGGAAGTAACGGTTAAGTTGTGCCGCTCCTTCGTAACCTAATCTCACTACATCACAATTGCCGAGAAGCCAATGTGGGATCGCGGCGTTACAGTCATGATAGCTACGAAGCCTATTCGGGATCACGACATCTAGCTAATCTCACAATACAATCGCGATTGAAGCTAGCTGGGAAACGTCATGGTGCACGCAGGTGCCTTCGTCTCCACTGAATTGCGCGATACAATGGCGATTTGAAACAACGAAGAAGCGACATCGGGATCACTGCATAGTACAATGGTGTGATGGGATCGCAGCATACAGTGCCTTCGTTGCCGTCGCACGTAGATTCGACCGCATCGCTCATTACAGTTGCAGTTTGGGCTTCATTTGGGCTAGCCAGGAAGACAGGATTGGGGCCCACAAAACAATCGTGCTTTGAGTTATCTGGGAAGCCTACTGGATCACTACATACAATTCATGATCACAATTTGTCCGAGAATTAATGGCAACGAAGAAAATAGATGATTTGGAGAAGAATTTGGAGGAAGAAATGGGGCAACTTAAATGCAGGATAGAGAAAGGTTTTTTGCCATTAACAACTGATTCGAGAGCTTGGAGGGGATGTTGAGGAAGCTTATTGAGATGTAATCCATGACCACACTGGTGGTTCAGTTTGTAAATCCTACACAAGGGTCGACTAGAGATTTGTTGGCTAAATCAAAAGGAAAAGAGATAAGATGAGAGCACTATGAGGAGGAAAGCATCCACCATCAAGGACCTCCTCCTAGGGCTCCAAGGAGTGGTGGATTAGAGATTTTCGATGGAGGCAGTTGGACCGAAACATGGTGAAGGGATTATGCCAGAGGTTTGGAGGAGCACCAAGAAGAATCAGGAGTAGGGAGGGGATATGGCTACGGTTGAAGGAATGAGTTTTACCCTCAATACATCGGGGAAAACAATAGAGCCAGAGGAATTTGGGGTGGAAATGTTAGAGTTAGGAAGTTGAAGATACTGATCTTCGAGTGGGAAGGTGCGCATGGGTGGGAAGATTTATACTTTGCGGTGAATGAGTTAGATGGGGAGGAGAAATTCATGGTGACAAGATTGTGTTTGGAGGGGAAAGCTTCTGGTTCAATGGAGGGAGGCTAGACATTAAACACTCCCCTTCAAGATAGGCAAAAGATATCCACTAAGCCCAACTTGTCACATAAGCTAGACAAATCTAATGAACTAAGTCATTTAGTGAGGCAGTTCGCCACTTGCTTTCTAGTGGCTACATGACTTAACTCCAGTAGCTTGTTATCCAGCTTTTCCTTGATGAAGAATCCAACAATGTAGATGTGCTTGGTTCTACGTGTTGCACTTTGTTGTTGTCAATGTTGATTGCTGACTTGTTGCTACACCACAACTTTATTTGAGTTCCTTGGTCCATCTTGAGCTCAATCAATAAGGATCTCAACCACATCATCTCAGCAACTCCCAAGTTCATGAAGTTGTACTCTACCTCTGTTGTTGACCTCACTACTACAGATTGTTTCTTGACCTTCTAAGAGACCAAGTTAGCCCCTATGAACATGCAATATCCTGAGATAAATTCTATCATCTGCACAATTCGCTAAGTCAGCGTCAAAAAAGCCCTCAATATCTTTATGCCCATTCTTCCTGAATATCGACTCCTTTCCTGGTGCACTCTTCAGTTACCTCTGAATCCGATAAACCACATCCATATGACCCTTCCTTTTATCATGCACGTTGTAGCGTCTTTCCACGCTCACTGCAAAAGAGATGTCGGGTCGAGTGTGACATAAGTAGATCAGAAGCCTCACCAATCTTTGATATCTCTCACGATCAACTGATTCTCCTGTTTCTGCACTTAGCTTGGCTTTTTGATCAATTGGAGAGATTGCATGTTTGCAACCCAGCATGTCTATTTTCAAGAGGAGATCTAGTACATATTTTCTTTAGAACAAGACTATTCTTAGGTCAATGGGCCACTTCAATCCCAAGAATGTATCTGAGTTGTTCAAGTTCCTTAACCTCAAATTTATTTCCCAATCTTACATTTATTTGGGCAATCTCTACGTCATCATCATCATCGGTGATAATGGTGTCATAAACATACACATGTATACTTGTGTGTTGTTAATGTTGCCGAAAGAATACTGTATGGTTTGCATTGATCAGTTCATATCCCATTCCCACCATAGTCTTTCTAAACTTGTCAAACCAGGCTAGAGGAGACTGTTTCAAGCCATACAATGACTTTCTGAGCCTATACACATTGCCCACTGGTTGGGCTATATCGAATCCTGACAGTATCTCCATACATACATCCTTCAGTAACTTACCATGAAAAAATGCATTCTTCACATAAAATTGGTGTAACGTCTACACACCATTCACTGCCACTGAAATTACTGTCCTCACTATGCTCATCTTTGCTACTGATGCAAATTTCTCATCATAGTCAATCTCATGTCTGACTATACCCTTTTGCCACTAGTCTTGCTTTGTACTGCTCCACCTTTCCTTCTGAATTTTGCTTCACTGTGAAAATCCACTTACACCCAACTATCTTTTTCCCCACTAGTAGTGGCACTATCTCTCATATTGTCTTTTTTATCAAAAGCCTTAAGCTCTTCATGCATAGTCATTTTTCACTTAAGATCCTCATTATTAACTTGCCAAAACTTGGGTATAGAGTCAGTATCCAAAAATGTACTAAATGCTCCATTAAATGTGATATGTTAGAATACGGAACAAAGTTAGTAATGTCATGGTCTCACCCAAAATGACAGGGATGATTTCCTGCATTGTTGTCAAAGGTCCTCCTTAAAATTGGGGGGGTTTGGAGAAGGAGGAATCATATCACCTGGGCGTTCTAAGTTAGAGATGGATGGTGTAGGTGTCTCAAGAATTGAGGAAAACTGGGGGCTAGATGACACAAGTAGCACTGCAGGCATTGTTCCCTCATGTAGCTTCTTCTTTGTTTATACACTTTTAGCTCACCTTCAGCCTGAATCTCACCACTTTTGGGTTCACTCTCATTTTTCGGTTCCTCAACTGATTCAATCCAAATCACAAGACAATGCATTGCTCCCACGTGTACCACACTCTCACTATTGCTACTCACCCCCCTTACCTTATATCTCTAATATCTGCTTTTTTACTGAAGGGTGAGATCATCTCCTAGGTATAGTACAATTCAAATTCTTTAAATAACACATTCACGCTCACAAAGTCTCTTCTCTAACAGGCTCCAGTAGACATACCAACAGAATAATCTATGAACACACATTTTCATAGCTCTAGGATCCAGCTTCTCTACTGATAGTTTGTTATCCTTCACAAAACATACACAGCCAAACACTTTTAATGGTAGGATCCTGTTATCATCTCTTTTAAATATCTGACAAAAAGACTTTCATTCCAACACACTTGAGGGCATCTTGTTGATGAATTTAGCTGTCAAAAGTGCTTGCTTCCATAAGTGTTTCGGGACATTTATTGCGATCATCATACTCCTGGCTACCTCTAGGTGTTTTTTTTTTCTTTTGGCTACCTCATTTTCTGTCAGTATGTTGGACATGTGATTTGATATTGTAACCATTGGGTTGACAAGTATTTCCCAGATGCTTTGTTAGTATACTTTGTCTCATTATTAGACATCAATACTTTTACTACTGCACCATATTGGTTTTGGATTGCCTTGTAGAAGTCTTTAAAGCAAGCAAACATATCATTCTTATTTTTCATCAAATATAACTAAGTAATATAAGAAAAACAATCAATAAAAGTCACAAAATATCGATAATCATTCATAGAACCTGTAGAATAAGGTCCCCAAACATCAAAATGTATTAAGTCAAAAATATCACAAGTCACAACTCTTATTCTTGGAACTGATATAAGAGCTTCTACTAAACTTGCCAAACTCACAAGTATCACAAACATTCTTTTGTTTATTTGCCTTTTCATGCAAAGAAGGACATGATCGACTTAATAAACTAAAACAAGTGTTTCCCATGCTTTGTGATATAGCAACAATACGTCACATAGCAACAATACGTTCTCCACACTCCTCCCAAATTCTCCTACTTCAACACTCTCTTTCAACTGAGTTTATCCCCTCCTGGTTTAAGTACTTGATTCCACCATGCCACGTTCTAGTTCCAAGCATCTAGCCTGTCCCCTTTCTCTTAGAAGATCACCTTAGAGGAATATCGAAAGAAACAATATATTTTAGTTGAAAAATAATGACACTAATGGATAAAAGACTTTATTTTTTAGTTGGTCACAAAGTTTGCTTTGATGCCGCTAGAATAAACGAGAAGATTTTCATCTACGTGGATCACATCTGCCTTTATTTTGTAATTTCAGTCTTTTGATATGATAAGAAAGTTTCTCTATCACAAAGTTTGCAAGATGCCCCCAATTCTCTGTTGTTGTGTGATATTTGTTCATAATGGCCTTACCTTTTACTCCATAGAAAGTATTACAGAAAGTACTCGACGGCAACTATTACCTCGATGATGGCCAAGTGCCTATTCTTCTATTATGGAATCTATAAATTAACGTGTATTGGACATGATAAAGAATAGTTAGATTTTCATGCTTTTAAATAGTTTGAATCCTTTCAGTTGCTAGAACTAAGTATTTGCGGAATTTCGGAGAATCATGTGATGCCTGAGTATGCATATAAGATGCTCTTAAAATTAAGTCGCCTCATTTTTCTCCCACCCATTGTTTTGTAGTTGCAACAACAGTTGAGCACCATTTATTCTCAAGAGGAAGATAGAAAAGAAGAATTTCATGAGACCTGATTTCCCTGTATAGTGAGGTCTTCTGTAAACTCATCAAGTTGAGGTAATAAGCTCATGTCCAGCCAGAAATCCTGTATCCATCTCCAATCGGCCTACTCCTATTTTCTCAGAGCAAGACCTTGTAGAAAGAGGCACAATCAGCAATTTTTAGTTTCTCTTAAACGCTACGCAACCGACACACGAGCATTTTCTTTGGAAAATTTCAAGATCACACAATGCTCTCTCTCATTTAATTTTGCACAAAAGCTGAAGGAATGTTGATTTCTTGTGGCAGCAAGTCTCTTTTCTTGTTGAAGATAAGCTTGTTTTTGCTTTGCAGTGGGTAAGTGTGATAATCTTATAATCAGATAGCTATCTTTGAACTTCAAATATGTATGATGTATATGACATTTGTATACATTGTAATTCATTTATGATATAGTTCATATTAATGATTGTTACATATTTTAGTGCATGAGCTTTGTCTAGTGGAACAGTGCCATAGATTCGCGCAAATATCTTATTTTCTCATTTTTTTTCTACTTTTAGTCCACAATAAATTTATCAAGTCAAATGGAACATTCATACTAAAAGTTGAGGCTGCGCTTCCTTTTTGTATTGTGCAAGGACTATCACTCTTGCTTTCCATTCTTTCAAACTTGTTTGATTCTCAATTCCCATATTCTTAAAATGTTCTAATTGTTTGTTAATCATATGGATTATTATATATGGTGGACAATCAAATGAAATAAAAATGTCAATTTTCTTATGTCATCAGCTATTTCCCTCTCGTGGAATACTGTTCATGTCATTATTGCCAATTACTTCATAGTTTATGGAATAATTTGGATGCATATTATGTATTAAAAAGTCATCCTTGTATACAATATTGAAGACTGAATATGTGATGTACAATGTTGAGAAAAATATGACCTTTTTCCCATCCTAATACCAGAATTAACTAAAGAAGTTAAGTGCATAGCACCCACACCTGAAACATTCCTATTTACAAAACTAGTGCCTTCTTTCATCTGTTTTTTAAATTTTCACTTGAAGAAACTCATAGTTTTCATTTTTATCAAATTCTCGATGGTATGTTTATGTTCTGTAAGTTTTCTCGTTCGGTAATTTAAAAATATTGCACGAGTGTCAGATTTTGTAAATAGTAATATTTTGGGTGTTTTGTATGTAATTATTTTAAATTATTTTTAATCAAAACTCCCTGAGTGTAACATAAACCAGCTTGATGCCGTTAGATTCGTCTGCCTAATATTGTAAATCTAATTTTAATCTGACAGGAATTAAGTTTGTGATTGTATATAGGGATGTCAAAAAAAAACTCTTTGTTTGCGAACAGTTCGTGTTCTATTCGTCAATGAGTTTGTGTTCGAGTCGTTCGATAAGTAAACGAGACGAACATGAATAAATTTTTTTCGTTCGGTTAGTTAAACGAACTAAACATGAACAGTGATGCGTTCGTTCCTGTTCGAATCGTTATTGTTCGAAATATAAAATAATTCAAAATAATTATAAATAAAAATTTTATGATATTTTAAAAAATTAAAATTTATAAATTATAATATATAAAAATTAATAATAATATATTAATATATTATATTAGTAATATATTAATATAGATATTATATATTTATATATATTAATATTAGGGTTGTCAAACTGACTCGTGGTTTGCGAACAGCTCGTGTTCGGCTCGTTCGTTAAGAAACGAACATGAACAGTGACTTCATAAATAATTTCACAAACAATTTCAAACATGAGTTTATTTCAAACAAACTAAATTTCAAATGAACCGAAAACGAATACAAGTTCCGTTCTTTCGCATTCGGTTCATTTACATCCCTAATTGTATATCAGTGAAACACTGAGTGTTTGTTGTTGATTTTTTTTTCTTAATAAGTCTGCTTTTCTATAACTCTAATGCTTTTTAATGTCAAGTTAGCTAAAGCCAAAATCTTATTCATAAAATATATTTTGAATTGAAAAAACGTACCACTAGATCATGAAATGATAGATTGCTTTTTAGAATAGCAACTCTCAATTGCTCTCTTTTTTATATATAATTTTCTTCTCAAAAACATGTTATATATCTAACAAAAGTCTGACCAACTTTTTGGATGTGTATAGCCACATCCTTTTAACAAAGAAGTCATCTTTTGGCTGATATGAGAGATGATAACTAAGGAAAATAACCTAATGGTTACCTTAATTTAATGATTCCTTGTAAGTATTAAATAAATTAAGTTGAATCTTTTTAATTAAATGGCATTTGGTTTTCTTTTGCTTTCCTTTGATTTTCCTACTCTGTATTATTAGTTCATGCTTGTTAATTTAAGACCAAATTACCTCTTTTAAATCTTAGAACTCAAAATAGAAGATAAAAACTAATTCATTATAGTGCTAAATGCTCTAAATTAAGTATTTTATTGTGCATCACAATAAGTTTTCTGATTTATGTGAGTACCATATGTAGCATGCAGTTATTCATTCAAAATTTTTATTAAATTATTATATATTTGCCCTCTAAATTTTAAGTATTTAACTAAAAAAACAGCTCAATTTTAAATATTAGAATTATAAATACAAAAATCTACACAAAAATTGAAATTGGTATCCCAATTATAATTTCTAAGGTATAAATAAGTCCCATGTATTACATGTATTTTATGGAACTTTTATGGCAATACATTACTCAAGATATTTGCAGTCTTTAATGTTGTTTTGTTGTGCTCAATTTTCACTTTGTTTGCTTTGAAAAATTCTCTATTAACTAAGTATTTTATGTTGATACATTTACGATATTATTTGAAATAAAAAAACATTGCTTTGGTATTATTAGGACTGTTTATTAAGGCCTAGATAAAGAATCAACAATTATAAGTCATAAAATATCTCCTATGCCAAATAGCAAATGACGTTGGTTCTAAATGTGATATTAACTCTACCTTAGCAATTTCAGTTATCAGTGATAGAACTAGAATTTAAAGACAGGGAGTGAAGGGGTAGGTCAAAAAAATAAATAAATAAATAAATCAAACCAAAATTTAAATTTTAAAAGTAAACAATATAAAATGAAAAGTAGTTAAGAATAACTTACAAGAAAAACCTTTTAATATAGTCATTTTGAATGCACATCTTATATTATGTTTAAGTGCTTCAGACTGAAACTCATTGTAATATCATTCTCAATATATGCTATTAGTGAACAGGCAAAAAAATACTCTTCTATTTAATTTCATAATCTTGCTTTAATGGTCGATAAAATTGAAGATTGTATGTTTAATTTTTATTTTTGAAATTGATATTGTCAAGTTCAATCTAAGCAAATAATTAATAAGAAGAAATATTGCTGATTTTTTTTAGCCAATATTTGACATAAGAAAATAAAAAATAGAAATAATTTAAAATTTTTGATTATGATGAGTTTCAATTTAAAAATTCTCTAATTAAATTTTTAACTTTAGCGTTTTTGTATTTGTGAAATCTTCAAGACAAAAATTTATTTGCAAACTAATAAAAAAATTTCAATTTTGAATTAAAGGCAACCATCTCAAAGATCCAATGCATAATTAAGAATCAATAATTTTACAATGTGTCATGTAACTAGAAATTCATTTTTATATCTAAAATGGGCAAGGAAATATTAATTTTATAATGAAGCTCTATTATAATAGTGTTTTTTGACAAAATGTTGTCTCAAAGCCAAAAAAAAAACAAAAAAAAAAAATTAATATATGCAATATGTATCCCATTATTCACAAAATAATTTTACGCTCTAGAATAAAGAATACTATATTATTTCAAATAAATTCGAAGAAAAATATTTTGTTATTGGTACTAAATGGATCACATTAAGTATGTTTTGAAATTTTATTTATAATTCAAGAAAAACAAATCAATTAAATTTGGAGTGCCAAATATATGCAAAACTAAATTAATATCTTTAATGATGAGCCGAAAAAAAAAATGAAAAATAAACTAATAAGTTGAAGTAATAAAATATAACTTTGTTTAAAAGAATGATAAAACAGATCAAATTAATTTTAAGGTAAAAAAAAAACCCCACCATTCCCTGCCAACCTTTTATTAGCAATCGCAGTGATTTTGTAGAAGTGTAATGGGCACTGTACCACGAGAAATATTTACGTACATAAGATGTACGCAGCGCTGCGTACATCAGAGATTATTCTGGGGGTACAGTGGAGTTATATTCGGGTTATACCGGAGGTTACAAGGGGTATAACCCAGATATAAACTCATTGTACCCCCTGAATAACCCCTGATGTACGCAGAGCTGCGTACATCTTATGTACGCAAATATTTTCCCTGTACCACACGTACCTAAAGTTACTTCACTACGCAATGGACTTAAAAGATAATAATAATAAAAATAAGGAAATAGATTGATAAATATAAATTTTAAGAGAATTTATTTATTAAAAAAAGAAGGGAAATAAAAAGGGCAAAGCAAGGGTTGCAGCTTTACAGCCAAGAAAGCAAAGATCACAACCGAAAAGATTGGCCAGGCCTAGCATGGCGGGGAGAGGAGGTTAGACGCCAGATTAGCCGTTCCGTACATCAGTGTATTTCTCTATCCAGAGCTGTGATTCACCGGCGAGCTCTCCCCCGAAACTTTTTATAAATAGGCAGCCCTCTCATCAGTCCAAATCACTAGACCCAACTTCTCCCCTCAGAGTAAAAGAAGATAAAGCCTTCCAAACCCTCTTCCAATCCTCTAGCTCCTCATGGCCAAGAACAAGCATTCCCCTCCTCCCTCCACGGCGGCTGCCAGCAGCTCTGGAGCTAAAGAAATGGAGGAACTCCAAACCATCAATAACCAACTCACCAAGGAAATAGTTCAGCGCCGCAAACAGATTCAACGGCTCCGCTTAGAACTAGCTTCATTGGCCCCCGATCAAGACGATCAGCATATTCTTGCAACAAATACCGTAAGCAATGCAGTCCAGAACCTCAAATCCCTTAATATCCGACTTGTGAACCAAGTCACGGAAAGCCGCAAAGAGATCAAGCGGCTTCAGTCAGAGCTGGCTTCGATTGTTGTCGATCAAGATATCTTTACCAGCCTGGAGTGCGATGTTTCCAACCTGGTCCTCTCCTACAGCCTCTCTGAAGCTGAGGCAAGTAGGAGTGTAGAGATGACAGAAATGATAAAGAAAGCCGAGTCACTTGCTGTAGATCTTGAAACTTTTGAAATCCGGAAGCACGCTCTTCTTGAAGAGAAAGATAACATACAGAAGAACATTGAGCGCATCATTAAGGAGAGGGATTCAAGTCTTCTGTCTTTGGAGCAAAGGAAGAAGAAGACTAAGGATCTTCAGCTCAAGAGCAGTGGAAAAATATGGAAGTGGATCTGCTGTGTTGCAGTAACTTCAATTTGTGCATATATTTCACTATTCTAAGCATAGCTTGCCCGGTCACATGTTTTCACCAAATGATGTGTTGGTTGTTTTAGCAGTAGGGTATTCATTATGGAA